TGAAGCTGTTGTTGTTGTTGTTGTTGTTGTTGTTGTTGTTGTTGTTGTTGCTGTTGTTGCTGTTGTTGCTGTTGCTGTTGTTGTTGTTGTTCTAACGCTGCTCCTCTGTGTCCTGCAGCCTAAACTCACCATGGCCAAATGTCGGCGAAACGTTGAGAACTTCCTGGAGGCGTGTCGTCGGATGGGAGTTCCACAGGTAACACACATATTACCTGTGATCCACCACAGGAACTCTCTGATGGGTCTCGGCTCCTCTTCAACTAACAGCTTCCTTTCTTCTCTTTCACCTTCCCACCTTTCATTAATCATCTTTGATTCTGTCCATCTCACTCCTTTTATCCCTCGTCCATCCACCTGACACACTCAGGACAGTCTTTGTTCGGTGGGGGACGTCCTGCAGGGGAACGGAGGCAGGGTCTATGGGACGGTGGGCGTGTTGCTCTCCTTGGCTCCGCCCCAGATTAGCCCCTCCCCTCGTGTCCAGCTGGCAGGCTTTGCCCTCTTCTACCTGTCCGTCATGTCAGTGCTATGTGCCATCTACGTACACCTGGCGCCGCACGTCTGAACCCAACCTGACCAGATACAGACAGCACCAACAACAGACAGCAACAGACATTATTCTAGTTCACCAATACACCAATAATAGCTCAGTACAGCAAAATAACTTGCACAAGATTTAAAGTAATAGTTTAATTAAGAGTATTATTTAGACTTGTTTAGAGCAAACACTGGAGGCATTGGGACACGGCTAGCTTGGCCGCTCTGCATATCATCCATCCATTCCCAAGTCCCTGTAGAACTGAAGTAACATGTCCTCCTCCGTAGCCACATCCACCAGCTCTTCCTGGAGGATCCAGAGGTTTTCCCAGTCCAGATGGGTCAGGGTACACTCAGTCAGAACCAGATCATAGACGTGTTGTCCAACAATATGAGATAGATATATGTGGAGACAGCAGAGCTAGAGAGAGGACTTCAGACACTGCAGACTTTTTCACCTCCACCCAGCCAACAGCACAAAGGGAGGCGCCCAAACCTCCTCAACTAACTCCCTTAACACAAAGGAGCACCTGCTCTTCTCAGAGTTCCTCCTGGATGTCTGAGCTCAGACACCATGCCGGGGAAACTCATTTCAACCACTGATATCCAGAATCTCTTTCTTTGAGTCACTATCCAAAGCTGATGACCACAGGAGCCAGAAACACAAAACCTGAAAGGATGCATAGATGCCTTTCTCCCTAGTGATGTCCTTCAGCTCCTCCTGGCAGATCCAGATGTGTTCCTAGACCAGATGGGATATGTAATCCCTCCAGTGTGTCCTGCCCTGCCTTCTACTCTCAGCTGGACGTACCTAAAGCAATCTAAACAGTCACCAGCTCCTTCTGGGTGTCTGAGCACAACCAGCCTGCAAAGGAAACTCATTTCGACCCGTCGTTTCCTCCTTATCACTCCCAGTAGTAGTTTCACTAGGTCTGCTTTGTATGATGGACTTCTATGGTCTCTGCTAGGCAATAGGATTGGGTAACATTTTATCGGATCACAATCCAGTGTTGTTTCCACATATTAGAACAAATCTTATCAATGTACTTTATTAAGTCTAAAGATGTTCAGCTTTCAATGTTTGTAATTGTTTTGTACTGACAAACAAATCAAATCACTCAAGCCTTTAAAGTCCTGAGTCCCTGCTGTCTGAACTTCAGAGGTTTGGACTCGACTCATAAGACTTGGACTTGGGCCATGACCAAAAGACAAACTTAACTTTGATAGTGACTCAATGTCACCCCAAGACCTTCTTCAGGAGCAGCAGGTAAAGGTGTGTTTGTTAGTGAAAACCAGCAGGCAGACAAATAATTACCTTGACTCGATGCACAAAGTTTAAGACCTGGGACTTGTTAGTCTTGACTTGGGACTTATTAGCTTTGACTAAAAACTTGTTGGCCTTGATTTGGGACATGGACTTGTCTTGGTCTTTATTTGGGACATGTTGGATTTTATTTGGGACTTGCTGGTCTTGACTCAGGACTTCATAGTCAAGAACAATCCAAAACAAGGTTTTAGTCCACCTCTGCTGAACTTGCCATATGTCCCTTGCGTCCCTGGGGGTTTCTGTTAAGCCAAAAAGGATCTCGAGATCCCTCGGGTGGCGTTAAAACTTGACAATCCCACAAAGTAGGAGGTTTACCCTAAATCTTGTTTCCTGCCAGTTGAATCTCCGCCCCCTGTGCCTTATGTTTGGTTGCCTGAGTGTTTTTTACTGTTTTTACTGTGGTCCAGAGCCAGTCCCCCC